TTATCGAAAAAATAAAGCAAACTCGTACTGCGTATGGTATACACGAGTATGTGCACAAAATTTCAGCTCAATAGCTCTTATATTTTCTGAGATCTCGGCGTTCATACTGACGGACGGACGGACGGACAGGCGGACATGGCTCTATCGACTCAGCTCGTCGTGCTGATCAACCTGTTACATACTTTTACACAAAACCATTATACCCTGATTTCCCAGTTTCAATGGGTTCAGGGTATAAAAAAAGTTTCCTGTCAAAATGATATTCACCTGGTCAGGATTGCCGAAAATCAGCTCATTATAGCACTGCTGAAGGGCATCGGTCCATGGAACAAACTCTGGCTTGCTATCCTCCTCAACCAGATAGTTATCCAAGACAAATAATGTCTGGCCGACATAGCGTCGCTTGGCCAGGCTCTCACGCAGCCCTTGCTCAAATGCCCGACGCTCCTCGGTTCTCAGTTCAGCTCTGCGAACGTAACGTATTAGACAGTTGACAGACCATAAATATTGATATTACGTACTCCTGAAGTACCATTGTCCGAGCGCGGTGCACCTCTTCCTGAATTTTGGTGCACTTCTGGTTAAAAACCTTACCGTAATTGTCGTCAAAATAGATCGATTTGCTGTTGCGAATCTGCAGCGCTTTCGTGCGTGGCATCGACAGCTCCTTCGGGGTCGATGGCTGCGGCTGCGTAATCGGCTTCGAACTAAGTAAATAATAAATAGAAAAATATATGCTCGACTTGCCAAATGTTAACCGGCTTATTAATGTCACTCACTTTTCCGACAGTTGGCTGGGAACGCCATCTACGATTTTAAATATTGGCGACTTTTCGACATTTGTGCTGTTGCCAGTGTTGTCGCTCTTTAAGTAGCTCTGAAGGGGAGTTGACGATAGTTTCGTGCTCAGTGGATCGGTTGACTTGACTTCATCCGGTTTCGAATTGATGTTCAAGAGCTTAGCATATTCGGATCGTCCAGCCGCACCGGACTCGGCCTTGTTCTTAATATAAGCGCGCATCCAGTCGGGGTTATTAAGGGTGATCGGACGCAATGGCGGCGGCGGCGGTGGCTTCTCCTTTTCACGTGCAGCGGCCGTACGCCGTGCATATTCTCGATCATGAAGACTTAGATTATTGATCAGATTTACATACTGATTGTGCTCATTGCGCTGTTCCTCTAGCGACAATATGGAATCTTTTCCAAGAACTCCCGACTCAAACATATTGCTGCTGTGACCATTTAAGCGCGCCTCGGACGACGCAAGGCTGCTAGACGGACGCTGGTAGTTGATGTTGGTTGAAAAACCATTTGTGCCGAAACGCAATGCGTCGGAGTAGAGCAAATTGTTGCGCCTAACTGACGAGATGCGTCCAAACTCATTCTGACGTGCCGCTGGCTGCCCACTTGGGCCAAGACGATCAGCGAATGTTTGGTACAAGTTACTCTCGTTATGCTGCTGATCGTCCGAGTCGGACAGATCGATCGGCGAAGTGGGCTGTATGTTGCGGACATTAACTTGCCGTGTTGGCGGCGTGTTAAATATCGAGAGACGCTTCGGCTGCGACTGGAAGGCATTGCGATTGCTGTTGTTGTTCTCTGGCTCCTTGCGCTGGGTTGGGTTTGCCATACGGCAAAAAGTATCAACTGTGGAGAATATAAGATTGAAATTCAATACATAACAGACTTCCTTGACTATGATATTGTCGTCAATTTTGAGATGATCGATGACTGATGTGGATGTCATTCAATATGGCTTTTGGTTCTTAAAATTTAACTTAGATATAAACATACAAAATACAAATAGTTTTGCTCTATTTTTATACAAAAACACAGTTTCCTTTTGACATTCGTTTATATCACATATTGTGGTACATATATGTATAAATTGAGATCATTTTGAAGAGAAAGTTGATGGGGAAGTTTCAAATTCAGGGATATCAACACTTGGCCAGCATATTCTTATTTTTGACTTTTTCTTGATTGAATTTGGCTTGAATTCTTGAATGGATTTTCAATATCCATGCGATCATGCGATATCTTCATCTATCTGGTACTTACCGTCATTCGGCATATATTTTGGAAATGTATTATCCACGCGGCGATATTTGATCAACTGTAGAGTTTCACCCCCGTCAGCCAAGCTTGGGTAGCTGTAATAAAATATGGGAGAATTTAGGTAATGTAAACAACTAGATTGCATTGATGGACTTACGAGCGCTTGCGAGAACGTTCGCTGTCTTCAGCTGCAGTATTGGGGGGCTCCTTGCTGTTCTTCGAATTGCGGCCGCCGCTTGGCAACCAGTGACGTATCCAGTTAATTATATCAAAGCCCATCGGATCGAGATGTGTATCGGGTCCGCCTTTGATTTGTTCGACTCTGGTTGATAGCGTTTTTATTTTTAAATCGATCTCATTCAGCAGATCAGACGTTTCGTATGCAGTCGCTGGCTCAGTTATAATGGAAGTCACCAGATATTCGCGTACATCGTTCAGTTTAGTCAGTAGCAGTAGAACGGCCCAAAGACTGTTGAAATGTCGACCCCGGCAGGTTTCCACAATTATGTCAAGTGCTCGCTGTATTACTGCCAAGCGCGGATCCGATTCCGGCTTCGTCTCCGCAACGTTGCTATTTGATGCAAATGCCACTCGTTCCAAGTCAGTTGCGTTTATGAGCTGTTCCTGTTGACTTCGTGATGTGGAATTGTAGATTGATGTGATTATGGTGTTGCTTGAAGGCGAGAATTCAGAGCCATTTGTCATCGATGCAGTATTCGAATAGATCGGGAGCACAACACCGTTGAATGGCAGCGCCAGCCCTGGATTACAGTTGGCTCCTCTGGCCGCCACAATTACTTGACTAGGTAGTATATTGGTTGGTTGATTTGCGCACCCCTACTAGAGTGTGCACACCTATAGAATGAATACTAATAGGGAGAAAAAATGCAAATGCATTAAGTTTTAGTTCATCATGCATCAGAATATGGCCGCCATGCGACGTTGCCAAACTCTTGCCCGGAGCCCAGGTGCATTGGCGAATTTTGCGCGCCGCCTGGGCACAACAACAACGGCAACACAGGAAAAGAGCAAAAGAAAACGCGGATACCACAACATGCTCATGTACGAAACAAGCTAAATGCTTGTGCTATTAGCAAAACAATATGTGGTATAGCTATTGCATTGCGAATTCAACACGCACGTCTAATGAAACTGCAGATTTTATAAGTGAAGTTAATTTAATGCCGGTTGCTGCTAATTCGACGCCGCTCTTGACATTCGCAGTTGCGCTTTGAAACGTATGCGTCCACATAAATACAAATGCACCATATATTGTATCGTTGCATGGGCATGCACTTACCTCTTGTTTAGAGTTTATTTACGATGAATTTGAAAATGTATACAAAGTTTACAGTTTTTCCAAAATTTAAAGTCTAATCTCCTAAAACTAAGCGTGCTGACTGCCTCACATATCTATAAAGCAACCACATCAACACAATACAAGATTACCAAAAAGATACCGAAAAATACCGAACAAAAATCAGTATTTATTTTTAGATGTTGCACGATGTTGTTAAGTGTTTCATTTTGAAGATTTCATTGAATGGTTATTACTCTAAAAATTGTTTATTTTTATTTTTGTTTCTTGGTTTAACTCTCAATTGATTTAAAATTAATTATAAAATACATAATTTTTTGCAAATCTGCTCTGCACAATGTATTTTGCAACACTAAATGGCTGTGCGGAAACTTGTCGAATATCGATAGCTCGATTTCTTTAAAACGTGACCCGCTAAAAATTGAAAGCATGTGCGCCATTTTGTTTTGTTTATTTTTTAAAAGAATTTATGCTACAGCTTATATATTAACATTTATAGTTATATGTATGTATGTATGTACGTTTTATTTGAAATCCCCAATCGCTAGGGCCAGACAATATGCACAATAATGCAGTGTTAATCCTTGCTTTGGCAACAGAAAAACAAAAAATTCCACAACAATGTTGTGGATCCATACAAAGCGCCCGCCAGCCCCACCGTTGCCTGGAACGTGTAGTGCACGACGACCCAATGGGCGAGTGCGCCCCAGATGAGTATCAGCAGACCGTTGGTGAAGTGCACCGGCCGGCGAATGGCCGTCCAATTGGCACGCGTCATGCCCAACTGGAAGACCATCTCCTGCAGAAATGCTGTGACCACCTGGCCGAAACCCAACAGCACAGCCGAAACGCTCAACAGCAGCTTGGACGTGGAGAAGCTAATAACTGCAGAATTGTTAATAGTAAATGATAGTAATAGGTGATGGTGTGCCACAATCTAAATGCTTACAAATGAGCGCCAGACACTTGCAGATGCTGCCAAACGTGAACCACTGCAGCTTCCTTTTGAACAGGCTCGAGCCGAAGCGCGGCGTCATCAGCGAGAAGCACATCCAGGGAAAGGCCAGCAGCGAGAAGAGGAATGGAATTTCGGCGTTCTTCAGCGCATGATGGCTAACAGCCAGGCCCGGCAGCACCGTCAGGCACATCACATAGCTGAAGATGTCCGCCGAGATGAGCAGTGTGGTGGCATACAGCTGCGGCACCAGCAGCGCCTGCTGCAGCGGCATCACAATCTTATCCAACAGATTCCACCACAAGTGCGATGTGACCGCCAGAGACATGCGTCGAATGCGATGCTGTCAACAAGCAAAAGCTGATATCACATCAGATTACATCAGAGACGCTCCAATGCTTACCAGATTCGCATAGGCCTCGGGCGAGGGGGAGGAGCTGCCGGTGGCGCTGGCATTCGGCGGATTCTGGGAGTAGAGGCGACCATTCGACTGGGACTTGTGCAGCATCTGCGACTGCGATATGCTGTAGTTGTCGATGGTCGCATTGCTGGAGCGCATGATGGACACCGTTTCGTCCTCTTCCGGTATTATCTCCATGATTTCAACGCCATTCGGATTCACATACGTGACATATGCCTCATCCGTGGCGAGCATATAGTTGCTGTGCGTGTCGACGACGGCGGCGGCCACAGCTGAGGCTGGCGCTGCGTTCGTCTGCATCTCTGTGCCCGGATTGCGCCAGGACATGGGCGTGTCCAGGCCATCCATTTGATCCGCCACAAAGATGGCCGCCAGCGCGGCACGCAATGGCAGCGCACCGAAGCCGGGCTCCGCCTTGATTACTGAGATCCGTTTGGTTGTGAACGCATCCTCGCGATGCTTGGTGATGATCAGGCTGAGCGGTATGAGATTCACCAGCATTGCCGACATCAACACAATGGACTGCGCGGTGCCATACAGGGTGCGCAGGCTGGTGAAGACGAAGGACAGAAACAGCTGGCAGAAGGCCTCGCCGCACAGGTGAATCGTCTTCCGCACGTACTTGTCCTCGCGCGGACGCACTGCCTCCAGTATGACATGCGTCTTCCACTGATACAGACTGGCGCCGATACCTAAAAGGTCATGCGGGCATTTCAAACTGGGATGCTGGGAGCTGCTGACAGCCGGCACAAGCGACTTACCCGCAAAGCAGCCGTAGAAGACAATGGCCACCGTCTGAGTGGTGGTGGTGACCACCACCCAGGCGGATGAGAAGAAGATGCCGCTGATCATGAGCGAGACGCAGGCAATCAAGGTGGCCAGCAGAAAGATGCGTCTGTATTGAACTGTTTCGCGTGCCCGGCCGCTATACTCTGTGTCCAGGTGCTCCATGATGGAGCGGCAGAGCTCCCCGGTGGCCTGGTAGACGATCGCTGGCCAAATGCGCAGCACCATATCCTTGTCCGATTCCACGACGTTGCCATATAAATAGGCTGGCGTTGCCAGAAATGCCTAGAAAAGCGAATAAACGAGTGAGAGAAGGCAGAAGATAAATGAATCGAGGGGGGGAAGGGTGGAGAAAGAGACAGAGCAAGTAAGACTTGAGCTAAGTGCAAGGCAATGAAGAGAGAGAGAGAGGGAGAGAGAGAGGGACGGAGAGGTGAGAGAGAGAGAGGGAGAGAGAGAGGGACGGAGAGGTGAGAGAGAGAGAGAGCGAGACGGAGAGGTGAGAGAGAGAGAGAGACGGAGAGGGGAGAGAGAGAGAGAGAGAGAGAGAGAGAGGGCGAGAGAGAGAGAGAGAGAGAGACTTGACTGATGTATATTTACGTGTATGGCAAAGCCGCAGAGCATATACTTCTGTTGTATGTGCTTCTTGACCACCCGCCGCCGCTGCACTCCGGCGGTGGCGCGGGCAGCGGCACGACGTACGGGTGCACCAGCCACTGGTGCCGCAGCCGCTGCTGTCATTGGCATTGTTGTCATGCCCGCCGTTCCCGTTGCCGTTCCAGTTACTCTTCCCGTGCCCGTTCCCGTTCCCGTTCCCGTTGCCTTCCCCGTTCCTATCACTTTTCCCTGGAAAATTGCGAGCGTTTTGTGGATGATCCCGCACAGTTTGCTTTTCGTATGGAATTTGTGTGCTGGTACTGTGTGAGGCGCGTCGTCTGGCCGTTAGCATTCATCATTTACCAAACCGAAACCCGTTTAGATAATGGCGAAAAAAAAAAAAAATAAATAAAATTGTGATAATAATCGCGCTTATCACATTGAAGATATCTCTGCGTACCAACACCCCCACAGACGACGCATGCACAGTGTGTGTGTGTGTGTGTGTGCGTGCATGTCTATCTAGCTGTGTGTGGGTGTGGGTGTTTGTGGGTGTGTGTGTGTGTGTGTGCCCGAGATTAACGTCAGATACATATGTAAAAAAGAAACAAAAAAAAAAAAAAACGAAAAAAATGTAGAAAAATAATCGTTCGTCTTTGTTGACGCTGTTGGCTCTCCTGCAGCTCCGGCCAGCAAACGCCAGCAGAGGATTATGTTTATGACCACACGCCAGCTGATCAGACATCGCACTCTGATAACGCGCAGCATACGATCCGGCAATAGGAGCCATTCCGAGTGCAACGTTGCCAGCAATTGTGTAACAGCACACACACACGCACACGCACACACACACATCACATAGAAAGCTTCATTCAATTGAATGTTAAGATCAGACCAAGAGGCAACCAAGGCAACTGCCTTCAGCGTCGCCCTCTGAATGTTCCTCCTTAAACTACGATTCCTTGAAGTCTTATATAAGTATTATTTTTTGATACTCATTCGCAGCAGTGAAATGAGCATATTGGTTTTGTGCAATATTCGTTTTGCTGTTCGTCCATCTATTCGTCACTCAGTTCGTCCGTCTGTTGGTCTGAATGCAAACCATTTCGACGCCTTGAAATTTTGACTATGTATATTCTCGATTTCCTTGTTTTCGTTTTTTATAAAGTTATTTTAATTTCTTCTCTTTCTTCTTTGATTTATAAACTATTTTTATTTATTAAAAAACTTTTTTTTTTAATTAATTATTATTATTATTATTATTATTTTTTTTTTTTAAATATTACAAATATGTTAATATCTTCCTAATACTCTTTTTTCTTTTTTTTTTTTATTATTTAGTTTTTTTTATTAAAATAATATATTTTTTATTTATTGTTTATTTTTTTTATTTATTTTAAATATATTTTAATATGTGCTTATTAAAAATACTTTATTCCCATATTTCCTTTAATTTATATATTTTTGTTATTTATAAAATATTTTTACTTGTTTATTTATTATTTTTTTACTTTTAACATTTATTTTAATTTGTACATAAATAAAATATCATGGAAATAATTAGCTTTTACAATTTATTTATTTTTCTTCTTGTATTTAAAAATTATTTTTATTTATTTTTTTAAATATATTTTCTTATATACATATTCGAAATTTAGAACCAGATGTTAAATATTCATTTTGAAATAAAAATAAACTCTGATATTTTGAAATCTCACAATTTCTTTTGTATACAAATTCTATTTATTTTTAAAATTGAATATTGAATATCGAATATTAAAATCCGCCTACAATCCACCTCATAATCTACTAGCCTCAGGCTCATAATGACTAACTCTCACTAAATTTAGACGAAGAGATGTTATCAGTCCATGCATGATCCCTGCTCAATGATTCATGGGAAACGTAGATTACTTTGAGCATAATCATTTCAAATGGATCTTTGGCTAGGTAATCTGGGAAATAAAGTAAAGCAAACACGGTCTTAAGTAGATAGTGGAACAAGCTAATCTATGTGCTTATAAGATATTAAGGAAAACTTTTTAGATGCAAACTGTTTTAAAGTAAAATTATGAAATTGCCGTGATTCAGACTTGTTGTTTTCATCACCTCCAATGTAAACACATGGCCATAAATATTGTGGAGCGGTGGCTGGGTGATGGTTGATGGGTGGTTAGGTGGGCGGGTGTCGGCGGTGTCCGATTGGAGCTCAGCCAAATTGCAGATGCATCGGAGAGCGACAGAGGTTGACCTCCTGTATGGCGCTTATCAAGACAATATCTTTACACACTTCCGTTTCACATCCGCGGACAGAGCAGTGCACTGGGCGTGCCGGCTGCCCCTATTCGCACTGGTGAGTCTTTATGGGTTTACAACTGTATTTTGCGCTGGTGATGGTGACGTTAAAGCAACAGATTTTATTTGCGCTATATACTAAAGTCGGCCTGGAGCCGTGAGATAGGGCCGATCGTAATTAGGCGCTAGGGTTGATAAGCCCCAGCATCCGGCGACAAGATTTTGCTATAAAATAGAGTGTGGGTAACACAAGTAGCTCATACAACGATCGACCGAAGTTAGCCACAGGCAACACGACGATGACGACAACAACAACCAGAAGAACAACCAGAACAACGATGACAGCGAGACACGGATTCTTCTCGACAGCCACCGCGGTGCTGCTGCTCTGCGCAGCCCTGGTAAGAGATCCATCAGCATAGCAACGAGTTCAGGATTTTCGGATAGCTGACCTTTGACCTTGCATTGATTACAGCTGCTGACCAAGTCCTGCGGCGTTCAGGCCCTTAGCGGTGCTGGTAGCGGTGATTTGGCCTGGAGCGAAACAACAACGGTGGCCGAGGGTAGCGGTTGGGAGGAGACGATCATAACCACAGCACAGCCAGACGAATCCACCGTGCAGGAGGAAGTGACAACGGATGCCATTGAGGAGCTGGACACCACGACAACAGCTGCCGATAATTCAGCAGAGGGTGGCGTAGAGACAACCACTGCTGCCGCTGAGGATGCGGAAACCACGCTCAGTCCCAGCGAGCCGGAGGTAGAGACCACAGTCGCACCCAATGAGGAGTCGTCCACATCGAGCCCCAGCGAACAGCAGCCAACCGATGGCCCCAGTGGAGAGCCCTCCACTGTGGAACCGACTACTGGCGGTCCCAGCGAGGAGTCATCCACTGCCGGCCCCAGCGAACAGCCATCCACAGCCAGCCCCATTGAGAGCTCATCCTCTGCCAGCCCGAGCCCCAGCGAACAGCCGTCCACTTCCAGCCCCAGCGAGGAGCAGCCAACAACTCCCGAAGAAGAGTCCAGCGCTACCACCATTGCACCCACACCACCGGCACCGCCCGCATTCAAGTGCGAGACGCCTGGTGTGTTCGCCCACAGCAGCGGCGACTGCCAACGCTTCCATAAGTGCGTCCAGAATGCTCCTTTGGGTGCGCTGAATGAATACGAGCTGGTGTGCCCCCCGCTGATGGCATTCTCGCCCGAGTACGGCCGATGCGTGCGCGACGTCTCGGCATGCGACAGTGATGCATTCGTTTGCACATCCCCCGGACGCTTTGCAGGCATCGACTCCAGCTACTACTACAACTGTGTGGTGAGCTTGCGCGGTGGCTATCACAAGTACATTGTGCGCTGCTCGCCCGGTCAGCGCTTCGAGCCATTGATGGGCCGCTGCTGGCGCTACGATTGGACTGTTTACCAGCCCGGACAGGCGTATGAGGCTGAAGATTTGGCCGCCATCAAGCGTGAACAGAAGGAACTGAAGACCGAGGAGAAGTTGCGCAAGAAGGCCGAAAAGCTCAAGGCCAAGGAGCTGCTGAAGCAACAGAAGCTGGCCGAGAAGCTGGCCAAAAAGGCGGCCAAGGAGAAGGCAAAGCAGGAGGCCAAGGCCAACAAGCCCGTGTCCATTGAGAGCGTCGAGTCGCCCGAGGTGCCCAGCATCGAAGAGTAATCAGGCCCACTCACTCAGTCCAGTAATTCAGTTCTAATCTATGTTGGTGTATAGCGTAGTCTCACTAAGTTATGGTTGTTAATTGCACAATTTTTTTTTTCTCCCTGTTTTGCATGAATAAAGACTAGAGCTCTTTAACAAAATGGCTTCAAATGCTTTTGGTCAACGCAGAGCGCCCTAGACGGTGCGTTTATCAGCTAATCAGCCGCAATCTTGACGATTGTCAAAAAGTTGTTTGTGGCCGACTATAAAAGAACCGAACCAAGTGCCCATCCAGTTAGTCTGTCGAAACAAGTAACGAATCGCAAGAGATAGTACCATCAGAGGAACAAAAATCGAGCAATAAGACCCGAATATGTTTATCATTCAATTGGCACTCAGCGCCACCTGCCTGGCGCTGCTTGGAGCTGTCCACGCTGGCTACAGTCAGCCATGCAGTGGCACGGATTTCTTTGCTGATGGACTTAATTCTAACGCGTTCTATGCGTGCCTTCCATCAACAAATGGGGACTACCATCTAGTTCGCCTGAGGTGCCAGGATAACATGGTTTTCGATTCGGAACAGGCTCAATGTGTTGATCTTCAGCGGGATGCGGTCCCAGCTGATGGTGGCGACATTGAGAACCCCACAATTCCACCTGGAAATTTAGATGAGAGTACTTCCGCATCGCCTCCAGAGCCAACTGTTGCTCCAGGGCCTCCAAGTCCCACTGCAGCTCCTGAACCATCTAATCCAACTAATGCTCCCGGAACCAGCGGAACAACGGTTGCTCCCGAACCATCGAATCCAACTAGTGAGCCCGGAACCAGCGGAACAACGATTGCTCCTGAACCATCAAATCCAACAAATGCTCCCGGAACCGGCGGAACAACGATTGCTCCTGAACCATCTAATCCAACAAATGCTCCCGGAACCGGCGGAACAACGATTGCTCCTGAACCATCTAATCCAACAAATGCTCCCGGAACCGGCGGAACAAC